TATCGCGCAGGCGTGACATCACTCACCCTGAAGGGCAGAGTTTACAGTGCAGCCGTCCATTTAGCCCTCTTGTACGGTCGCGAAATCCCGCCCATCAGATCGACATCATCATGAACAGCGTTACATCGGCCTTTTGAACTGTTACTCCTTTGCCATACAACCATGGTGACTTAGAGAATGAGGAATAATACCAGAGAGAGAAGGGGACCTACCGGAAAATTTAAATGCCCTAAGCAAAGATTCAGGGTCATACACATTGACGACACCATGCCATCACAAATAGCTGGCTCTCGCGCGAAGGCAAGGCGGCATCAGCGAAGCAGCTTCCTTGCGGCTATCATTGCCCCGCGTCATAATCAGTCTTTACTCCGCAGATAACTCAGCACCAAATACACTTTAAATAGGCGGTCCGACTAAGAGACGGCGACAGACGCGCCACTAGTGTCGATTTCGAGCCATATCCTCTAAAACGTGTGAGGCAGGCACAAGTTGGGTCGCGTGGACTCCAACCAGGAGGGCGAAACGGACTATGTTCATCGTAGTGGTCAGTGATTTCATTTCCCGCTACTAAGTCCACTTTTGTCTACATCGGGCCTTTTCCCAACCTACATCTGGTTAACATGGTCCTCTTCAGTAAGCGGTGGCCGGGCGTACGTATTACTGCCTGTGCCAACACAGTTTAATCAATATCATTCGTTGTTGCACGGAACTGGCATGGTTATCACTGCCTAGCATCACCCTATGCATATCATATTTGCGGACACGCTGTGGCCATCCGACATTAAAAGTTCTCCGCAAACCGAGATGATCAAAGACTAGAAGGGGCCAAAGATGGAAGGGACCCACTTCCACTCTCATAGAACGGTCTTCGCTGTGGCCTTTTAACTACGGTCTTTAGACGGAGCGAAACCCCTTTCTGACGCCACATATGTCGCACGTTCAAAAAGCCAGTTCTAGCTTTTGCGGTATGTGAACTGACTACAGTTACTATGCATCCATCGTTGCTGATCCAGCTACCGAAGTAGGTGTAGTGGTCAACTACCTCGAGTTCCTCGCCATCAAGTGGCTGGTGATTCTGCAGCAACATTTTGAAGGTGCGACACGCATACCAAATAATGGTGCCATTCTAGAGAGGTTATTCAGGGTTGCTTGTGCCGCTCTAGCATCGTCAAAGAGCAGGACAATATCGTCCAGATAACCAAGATCAACTAGCTCTTTTCACTAGGCAGCACCTCGATGTCTGCATCGTGAGGTTTCGCAAGGGAACACTTCATGATGGAGTCCATGACAGAATTGGACAAAAATGAGGAAATTGGGCAACCCTGACAAACGCCACTTGTTATCGGAAAGATATCTGACGGGTCACCGTAGACCCTGACGTGGTCTATCGTGTTCGAATACAGGGCACGAAAAATTTTCACATGTTCCATGGAAACACCTTTTGCGTGCAAGTACTTCGAACCGAATGCGTCGATCGACTGTGTCGAATGCACTCTTGAAGTGGAGAAACAGTTCTTGTCGGTCTGCGGTACATGTGGTGCTGCTCTAGCACCTGCCTCAGGGTGAATATATGATCTATACAGCCCCATCTTGTGCGGAAGCCTGCCTACTCTTCCCTAATCCGCGACTCTCGCTCCGCAGTGAGTCAGCGAAAGAATTGAGGTCGGTAATTGTCACCACTGGTTAGCACAGCCGGTGCGACTGCCCTTCTGCTATATCGCTACTACAATTGATTCACTCCAGTTAGCTGGGATGGTCTCTGCATTCCAGACCTGTTCGACCAGGGAGGTCAGTGCTTTGAAGAGGACCTCACCACCATCCTTAAATAGCGCGGGTGCGAGCGAATCCAGACCAGCAACACGAAAACGATTAAGAGCTGCGATCGCGTTTCGGACCTCAGACTCCGACGGAGTCTATAAACTAACTGGCCATCGCTCGGCCTACGACACCTGAGTAAGAAGAGGTCCAGAACCAGGAGGACAACTGAACTGCTCTCGAAAGTGCTCCGTCCAACGAGCCATACGGCGCTCTTTATTATGAATCGAAACTCGCGCTGTCTCTGGTTGTTTCACGGACGCTTGGTTTCCTGGGATCACTGATGCAGATCAGTTGAAGAGCTTGAAATAATTGCCCACTGCTCCTGCTTCCTCTATTTCTTGAACCCAGCTGATCCGCTAGGCTTCCTTGTCAGCACGCAGGCTCCGCCTTATTTCGGGCCTAACAGTCCGTCTAGTTACATGGTGTTCAGAGCCAGTTTTGTTCCGGATTCCAACAAGTTCACCGACCTCGGATATTTGGTGACTGATGCAGTAACCATTGATAGTGTCTCATGCAGTGGCTCCTACATGGCGATCGAGATCTAATTCCATTGAACCGTCATTACGATAAGAGAGGGAAAGTTTGTAAGGCTTGAGTGATCGAAGCATGAGACCATTTCTCAATTTCCAATCGAGAGAAACGCTTGGTAAACCTCTCGGTGAAGTTCCTGGAAAAATGACAGTGTACCTAGACATGATCAGAGTAGACACAAGTACTCCAGGACGAGCGACAATCCAGGAAGGAACCACGCTACTCGTAACTTATGGCAATGTGATCTATTTGGGTCCATCACTGGCCAGCTACAGATGGGCGCCAAGCGGCACATCGGCACCCACTGTGTCTAAAAACGGTGCTACTAAGAAATAGCTGGTGTTCCGCACACAGTTGCAACAGACACGCCGTTGTCCGTCCGTCCGGAGTCAAGCTCAGATTACCAGCTGAGCTTCTGAAGAGCCCGGGCGACCTGTTTGCGCTTTCATATTTCCTGCAACGATATCTGCACTGGTAAAACTGAGAAGCAGCGTGTTCAATTCGTGGTAGGTATCCTTGGTAGCACTAGAACGGCAGTCGTTGGGTGCATAAGCAACTTGTACTACTCCGTGAATCCATTTTTGTTGATGTCGTCAAACGGGTTGCACACAAACGGCTGCTAACTGGAATCCAATTAACCAACGACGGCTGAAAACAACGCCTACTCCATCCTGACCATTGGTTGCCGCATCAACGTCTCCGCATGCGTGCAACCAATAGCGAGAGGATAATACGGGTGCGGTTGATTTAACAACCCCGTGAGGGTCATTGATCGTAGTTTCTGATACGCAACACACGTTACTACCTAGTATGTCCAATATGCATGTAAGTGCAGCCTATTGATCTATTCATCCCAGAGTGCGAACGTTGAACGCCGCTAAGGAAACGGGACAGGGTGGTCTTATGAGGGACTGTTGTCGATAGGCGTCCAGTGGGTGGTGCGGGTAGCCGCAGATGGTTCGACTCCAGTGGCATGACGACTGCCGTCGATTAAGTTGGGGATTATAGGAAGAAGGTTAGTAATGGGGTTGGGAGATTGAGAAAAACAGGTGGAAAAGAAAAGAGGGAGGCGATAGCGGTAGCAGGTTTTCGTTTATCCGCCTTGCTGTATGCAGCAGACAAGGCGACTCTTGCTAATCTGCGAGATGGTCGATGCAGGATGTGGTTGCATTTTGAAGTAGTCACGGTTGTACGTGGTCTGATATACTGTCACAACGCTTAAACCTAGACAGGAAAACGATCAGGATCTTCAACCAAGGATTTGGCTCAAAAGCCTGTCTGCAAGGCGACGGGGAAGTGGCGATGATTTAGTTTTACAGAAATGGAAGCCATACCATTTCCAACACCCAACATGGAGGATCAAAAGACTGACTTTGTTTGACTTCCGACCATTGATTAACTTGGTACAAGTAGCTCACAAGGGGCCCAACTGCACCTCCCCGTATAGCTCAATAGGTCGACGAGGTAGACAAATCGTCGCACCATGTTAAGGTCTAGTCACGTTTCGACAGACCTAAAGTGGCTTCTTACGCTCAATCCTCGCTGCCTTCGTAGCTTGGCGGGAACACCACGTGAGCAGTGGCGTGTTTGGCGTCGCGTATTTGGTGCGGGAAGAGTGAACCGCTATACGACGCATAAGGTTTCCATGGCTGGGCTACATGTTGCACATGTCGACACATGGACTTCCCTCGACGAGCGTCGTTTCTGCAACCTGGTTGTGGATGGAAGAATAGGAGAGGAGGCCAACCGATAACTTGGTCAGGAGTAATGAAGTCCGTCACTTGAATGTTGGCGTCGGTCGGTTTCTTCTGACTGCCAGGTTGGATACACTAGTTGGCATGGCAAAGACCGACCTCATTGGCGTTTGTGTTATGGGTTTGCTTGCACAGCAGCGGCTGTGACGTGTTTCCCGCGTTCAGCTAGCGTGTAGCGAATAAGTGAATGAAGCAGGTATTGTATTGGTCGCTGGTTAGCTTAGGATCAACACGAACCGACCACTCCCGAAAGAATTCGGTGGATCCTGAGATTTCCCGTAGTTCGCATTTCCTAACCCCCATCCCAGAAATTTCGAAGTGTTAATCCCAGGGGCTTTGGTGATATTCGTAGTTCGCAGCATAAGTCCAAAACAGCTTGTCTGCTTTGTTCCGTGCACTGAGGTGCGATGGATCCAGTTATCTTGTCTCACGTCATCATAGTACTACCGGTAGTGACTGCAACAATAATGAGGATAATAATAATAATAATAGTAAGGGGGAAAGGAAACCAGCTCAACGAATCTCTACCAATAAATTACACTTGCAAGCTGGACTCACCTAGCATGCAACTGTATCCGATGATGTATCCTACCGCTGCTGGTGTAGTCAGAGAGGACAAGAATCAACCTGTTCTACGTCGGAGTGGTCTCACCACAGTAGTTTTAAAACGTCCCAGTCCCGAATGTTTGTCGATCGAGATCTGAGTTTCGTCCAAGGCAGTTGTTGCTAGCAAGATGCGCGACCGTAATGATATCTGCCGTTGACCTGACCGAGTAATCTTTCCCCTTTGCCTTTTCGTCAACCTGCTTAGCACCTGGGACATTGTTTATTATTTTTTGACAGTAGAGTGCAATTTGTAAACGACATATGCCTAATACTTTTGCCCCCACATACCAAGGTCCTCAACTTCATGGCGTCTCGCAGCAAACGTAAGTCGCTCCCAAAATTATTTCTTTTGTAGCGAAAAAGATGAATAGAAGGCAGCAGAAGTACAAGGAAGTGGTTCACCATCGTGTCAGTTCCAAAACACCACCAGTTCAATATACTCGCCGACTGAAAACGAAAAAGCAGAAGAAACTTAAGCAAATCGGCTCCATCATTCGGAAACCCGGTATGTGTGGAATTACCACTTTTGTTAGTTTCAGGGACTTTTGATCGCCCACCCCTGGATGATTCACAGCACATTCCAGCCAGCTTTATCGAAATGCTTCAGCGTAAGGCACTTAAGGGCAAGCGTATGAGATCAGTCGTTCGAAGTGGTAGACGTCCAATTTCGAGATATGCGTTGAGTTTGTAGGCGTGGGTGACACTGTGGGAATGAAAAAACCTGTAGTCATCAACAAAATGCCCAAACAAGGTAAACATGAATCAGACGCCCATTACATTGGCCGTGTACACAGAGAAGTTGAGGAGGAACTCGCAAAAGTTCAGTTTGCAAAAGCTCAAAAGGTGGACAGATCGTTAAATATTAACGCTCTGCTTCTAGACCAGGCTTATACTCGATAAGCCTGTGAAGACCAAGAAGAAGGTCAAATCGATAAAGTATTCCTCCTCCATCTGATTTGTGCCGTTTCAACTAGACGATTGCGTGAGAGGAAAAAAGCTAAACAGGCACGGGCTTTGGAAAAGCGATCCACTGGCTACGAACACCTCAAGGGTTAGTCTCATTGTGCTCCGGTTTATCTAACTTTCAGATGAAATACGTTTCAACGAGGTTGTCACTGCTCCGCCGACCAATTTGACGAAGCCCAAGAAAGTCGGATCCACAACGTTACGCGGTGGTGCGCATCCCATCGACAAGTAAGCAGTCTCCTAACTCTGGTGTTACATTTCTGGACTGGTGTTCGTATGTTTTAATCACTCATGGTCGACAAGCAAGCACTGCAGTTGTTTTTTTTGCGTACATCACGGCACTTACACTTCACTCTTAAATAGAATTTTCATTTATTCTTGTTACAGAATATTACAAACTTGGTGACCTCTTTCATCTACCCACCGTCAGACAGCCAGATGACGTTGACCATGTTAATATACTCAAGACTCATTTTTGTACAACAATAAAGATGTATGATACAGATCCACACTGTAAATTCTCACATCCGCAATCGTACTCAATTAAGGAAGGTCAACATTGGCACAGTATTCCCCCTCGTCTGTTAGCTCAATCTTGCTACCCAGTGAGATTCCAGTAACGGAATACAAAACAATAGCGGTCTCCAAATTCATTTTGCTTTTATATATGAAAAATCACAAAATATGGTCACTGGCTGATTGCTGTACAATGTTCACCGATGAGGGGTTGGGAGAGCATGGCTTCGACACGATCGACGGTTACCGCCGGATGCTTACGCACGCCAGCTGCAAGGATGAAAAGAGGATAGGTGAACGTGTTTTATTTAGTCCGGGTGAGACTGTGCGGTGTTACGGTGGAAGAGAATAATCAAATCACAGAGGTTAACAAAATGAATTCGCGTTGATATTTCGATAACTGATTGCTTTGAAACCACCGCTGAGGTAGACACACTAGAGAATTCCATCACGAAGCAACTTTGAAAGTTTACCTCGTTCAATAGCTGTACTCATCCGAGACATAATGTACTAAATCAGCAGTTCTGGTGGATACTGAATTAGCGAAACAATAACAATATTCACCTGAACTACGTGTAGTATTGCATCTCGTCATGGATAAAGTTATCTACAAATTGCGACCATGAGGCATACCTTCGCTGAAACAATGCAGTGCGCATTCCATCCGACCCCTGTGGAACTAGAACACTTAACACTAACCTTACGGAATACTGAGAGACGCGACGGCCGACGTGACTGTTACTAGATGCGATATAATGCCGCTCACTATATACTAACTTGTCATGCAGAGAACAAACTAAGCTCCGAACAACGACTTGTCAGTTAATTTATGGCGTTATAAGCAGTCTGGTCTGACGATTCTATAAAGATGAGACGGCCATGTAACCCTTTTCTGGACGTGTGGTGGATACCTGTTGGAGTTTGGATGTTACGAATTACGACTTAAGCTACGAGGTCGTCGATATTCCGCTATCAAGTTGAAGCCACCTGTGTTCCCTTGGGTTAGCCAGAAAGTTCAGTTTCTCGCATACATGCGGGTGACACGCATTTGTGATCTTCAGATTTTGTGAACTTGTTCAATTGTGTTTGGGTTTAAAAGTTGACTCCGCTGCACCTGTGCATCTACTATTTCTGCATGATAACGCAGAATGATCAATTCGTGATATCAACAAATTGCCCACGGTGCATATATAGGTGGGTAGAGGTAAATCGAAACAGCATAACGCGCATGTAACTGGGGGACCGTCACGTCAAAAATGACGGATGGAGTCACTCATTTTCCCTATTTCTCACCGGTCTCATAAATCAGCTTGCAACAATGTCCTAGCCGTGGATGGAATAATGCAGAATTCGATAACCAATCAGTGATCATGTCACAAAGTGGGCCTCACTCACATCTTCAGAACGCGATCCTTGCCTCCGGATACAACGTACTGACCGTCAGGGCTCCAATCCAAGGCGTACACTGCATCCGCGTGTCCAGGAAGATCGTGTAGCAAATGACGCCGTCGCTGATGTGCGGCTTTTGTTTCCGATACCTTTCCGGCCACGTCGGAGGCAAAAATCTGTTTCTTCTTTTCTTTCGCTGGTACAGTGCTTGCCTCTTGGCCCCATCGTCGAACCTCGGCCAGAGACCATAACTTCAGGGTGGAATCCTTCGAGCACGATGTTAGTAGTCTGCTATCACTGGACCAGGAGACTAAATACACGTCCTGAACGTGGCCGAATAGAGTGGCCAAAAACCTATCAGCAAATGTGCAAAACAAAGAAAAACACAAAAGTTGGTAGTCTCAGTGAAAATGCGACTTGGTTATCATTTAGGATCATGTAAGGCAGCGTTGAGTGATCGACGTAACAAGTTCGGTGTCACGTGATTGAACTGCCTTGTCCAGTAACCATTCCCTGGTCTAAGAGTGCAACCACACTTGATATCATAATGCTTTTAGACTGCAAACTAGTTAGATGCATGAAGTGATTAGAGGGCGCTACAATTTATCACAACAAAACTCCAAATTCTGATGAGTGCTTTTGAGTTCCACTGAACTCCGTCTAGGGGGAAGTGTTGACGGCGTTTGATCGCATGACTTCCATCAAAACGAGAAAACAAGCGGATTGCGTTTCGAGAATTCTCTTCAAACATCCAAATAAGCCTAGACTACCGTTCCGTTGCATGTTGCTTTCATTTAACTCCTATAACAAGCATAGCTGAGGCTCCGCATTGGCTGGGGACTGTATCAGCCCACGTACAGAGAGCAAAAACAACAGACTAACTTATCATGGTTTTAGTACGTAGCCCATTTCGATAGGTCCAATGCAAACGCTGGAATGAACCGCTGGATCGAAATGAAAGGCAACGCGGTGTTAATCGAAGAACAGCGTAATGAGTATAAACTCCTGAAATGCAGATCTGTTGGATCACGATACATGGATAGCGCTGATAATCGGGAAGATCGGGCATTCACTTAGGTGCATTCGATCGGGGTTTCCACATCAGCATGGGCTTACCGGAAGTGAGATTGCAGGCGTGGACAATTTGGACTGTAAAAACAACCTACAGTCAATCATAAGATGCGAGGGTGCAACCCGCATGTGAACTCACTGGCCGGTGAGACCGTCCCAGACTTTGACCGAGTGGTCGAAACTGGCACTCGCAATCAAACGGGCATCAGGAGAGAACTTCACGTCATTCACCACCCCTTGATGACCGACCATCCGTGGCGCCAAAGGTTTCTTGTCCTGCTCGGGTTGCCAAAGCGATAGAGTACAGTCATCCGACCCGGCAACAAGACGCTCCGGACCAGAACCCTGAAATAAGATGTGGGGCAGGCCATATGTAAATATGTATGCATATACATATGCATAACTTTTACGATGGAAGAAGGCTTAGATGATGTCTCGGTAGCAGGATAACACAGAGGGAAGATGGATTTCCCGGAATAATGGACATCTCGTCACAATTTTTGCTCGTAAATACGAACTAAAAGATCCATTGAATGAATTCGACTGTGTGTAGCATCAGGCAATTGTGGGAATCAAAATATAAACTTCCGAGTAGAATCACGCGTTGACCTATGATATCACAGGTAACTGCGAAGGGAAGACTGATCGGACATAAGTGAAACAGACTTATTCGTGTGACAATCGGTAAAAACAACGGATGAGCAACGTTATGGTGGCGAGCGGCTGTTGCCCGCTTTCAACCATGAACAAACCGTGCATCAGTGTGGCGTGGTGATTTGCGTGCGCACCACTGTGACTCACGATCGGTGGCACTTTTTGCGAGCATTCGAGGTCAACTGTACCCAACTGACCAGTGATTGAAAGCTTGATAAACTGTCGTACTATTTACCACATTAAAAGCTAGAGAGAATGAAACGGCCAAGCACGCTTCAAGCCCAGTTGCAGCGTTGGTATAATGCGTCTACCACAAATGCGAAACGGTAAGAAGTCTGCTGGGTATAGCTTGCAGCTGCACCCCCCTAAACTCTGACATTCACAGGCAGGCAAAACTAGATTGTGGCCACTACGACCGAGAAACATACGGTAATATGCAACAATGACAGGTATTTACTGATGCACGAGACAGATCATTATGCGCAGCTACAGTCACACCCCCTTGTGAATTAGATATGGATTCAGTCGTGTTTGTGTTGTAAACATATTATATGACACAAGATCTGTGTTGGTGCTAGTAGCTGATAGGCTATTTCACAGAGCGGCATATTTGGTGAGGAATAAATGGAGACGAAAAGTTACCCTGAGCCTTGGCACAAATGGCGCACGGCTTTCGTGGCGAAGTACCCAAGTGGAATTATGTCGCAAGTCTAAGGTGGACAGACCGGATTAAGCATCCTGATGCGAAGGAGCATCAAGTGATGTATCAGTCGTCGCAACCAAAAAGGCTCGAGGTGAAGCTGCTGGTAACGTTGGCCGGCTTGCCGAACAACCTCTACGTGGTGCCATGTGGGTGGTTAGGGTTCGTCCAGCTCCAGCAAACGGTTCGGCGGCAGTGTTCCAAAAAGTGGTGTGTTCTCGCCTGGCAAGCGTTCTCCCTTTAAAGGCCGCATGTCCGTTCAACAACAATGCGATTCGCCATTAAATAAAGTCACTATCCCTTGCTTCACTCTGGTGGAACATTGTATTCCAGCAACGCGAAGCTCAAATTGTGGGGAGGATTGGGCTCCCGTACGAACTACGTAATTCGTCACCGGCTCCCAATGGGCGCAGTTCCCTGGATTCGCCCGGGTGCCTTGAGTATGCTATCCGACCAAAGGCTCGCGATAATGTCCCCTAAGTCAACACACTACCTGAGATTGGGAAACTGGGTTGTATCGTGCCCTCTGACGAAATCATGGACTTCTGTGTTGTATTCGGTTTTCTTTTTGTGACAACCGTACCTTTGATTTTTATGGTTTTGACGGTTCATTGTCTATCTGTAGGCTTGCATATATATGCGAGGGGTGTTCGAAAAGAAACGCTTGATATAACATCTTCATTGTCCATTGCACAAAATTTTTATGCACGTTCTCCCTCAAAGTAGTTCCATCTACTGGCAACACACCAAGCCCTATAGCGCTTCCATGTTTGGAAATCCTCCTGGAACGGGCTTTCTGGGATGACGCTCAGGTCTCTTGTCGCATTGTCCGGAAATGACGTCCTTTCAACGTGGTTTTAAGTTTGGGAAACAGGAAATGTCTGCAGGCGCTAGGTCCGGAGAATACGGTGGATGGGTCACAACGGGAGTGTGGTGTTTTGCTAGATAGCTACGGACAAGCAGCGACGCGTGAGCCGGCGCTTTGGCATGATGTGAAATCCAAGTTTGGTTTTCCCACAGTTCAGGCCTCCTCCTGCGCACAGCATCACTCAAACGCGATAGCATTTGATGGTATGATCCAACGCTGATGCTCACTTCGTCAGCAACTTCTTGAGCAGTTAAACGACGATTTTCAAGTATCACAGCAAGACCTCTGTCGTCACGGTCATTGTCTGTTAAAGTAGGTCGTCCAGACTTTGGATCATCACCGACCGACATTCTACCGTGTAGAAAACACTTAAACCTCTTATGGCACTGGGTGCGACATATATATATATATATATATATATATATATATATATATATATATATATATATATATATATATACACAAAAGTCTGCTAACAGACATAATGCCATCAGAAACCATGGGATTCAAACGAAGGTACATAAACGGCAAAATAAAACACAACACAACAATGTCCATGGTTTCCTCAGAGGGCGAGATACTACCCGATTGCCCAAGCCGAAGTAGGGTGTTGACTTAGGGGACACCACCCCGAGCATTTGGCTGAATAGCCTACCCGCAAGGCAGCGGAGCGAATTCAGGGAATCGCGCCCATTGGGAGCCGGTGACTGATTGCTCAGTTCATACGCCTTTCGTTTGTTCCTTTGTCAAACAGGGGCCCAATGCTCCCCAGAATTACAGCATAAACTTGCTGGAATACAATGCTTCGCCGGGATGAAACAAGGGGCAGTGACTTCATTTAGTGGCGAGTCACATCCGCCACGTCACAGTGTTTTTCAACGGACATATGTGGCTTTTTATAGGGAGAACGCTTGCCAGGCGAAAACCCACCACGTCCTGGAACACTGTCGCCGAACCATTTGCTGGAACGGGAAAATCCCGAACCACCCAGCTGGCACCACGAGAAGGTTGTTCGGCAAGCCACATGTAGTTCTCCCTGTACGCTTGGCTAGGCAACTGAAATGTATCTATAAAAGTTTTGCTAAGTTTGTAGCAAAATTCCGCACATACGCGTTATTCTTCAGGCTCTTTCATGGTCTCTTTGGCAGTTATCCGACGAACAGCTTGTGCACGTGCTCACTTCAGTAGCTGTAGTTCACCAACCAACAGTCAGAGCGAAATGCGGCAAATGCCAGTTTGTTGTCTAAGCAATCCATCACATGCGCTCAGCAGGCGCAGCGCGCTTCCTCTGTCGGTTACCATGCTGTTACTAAAATTCGCTTCCTTTTTGAATACCCTCGTATATATATATATATATATATATATATATATATATATGAGTAACGAGTGTTTCGGTTCGTACAGCTTCTGCGGTAACTGGTAAACCGTGGAATGCATCAGTTGACGTCAGGTTCAATCTCGACCGAGGCAATGATTGTGTCCTCATGTTCTTGCTGATGGGTATCAATTAGGCGTGACAGTGCATCCGCTTGGCCAATGGAAATTGTCGACTGGTAGTGAATCTCGAAATCGTACCCCATTAAGGTAAGAGCCCAGCGTTGTAGCCGGTTGGCTGTGTAGGCCGGGATGCCCTTTTTCTTACCAAAGATAGCCAGCAAGGGCTTGTGATCTGTCAGAAGCTTGAAGTGGCGGCCGTATAGCATTTTGTGGAATTTCTTGACCGCGTACACTGTGAACAATGCTTCTTTCTCAATCTGGCTGTAATTCTTCTCGGCCTTCGTAAGTGTTCTGGCGGCATGGGCGATTGCTTTCTGAGATCAATCGGTGTATTTGTGTGAAATTACTGCACCAATCCCATGGCTTGATGCATCTGTGGTCAGGACAATCTCTTTGGAAGGATCAAAATGAGTCAAAACAATTTTGAGGACAGCAGTGTCTTGCCCCGTTCGAAGGCATTCTTGCATTCAGATGTCCAGTTCCAAGTTTGGCCTTTGGCTAGTAGCTTGTTTAACGGGGCAGGCAGGCGGTGCATCTCAGGCAAGAATACGCTGTGGTGGCTGATGAGCCCATAAAAGTACCGCAAGGACTGTAGATTTGTTGGTGGAGGCATTTTTCTAATGGCTTTTGTGTTTTCCGGATCTGGTCTACGTCCATCCTTTTTGAGGATAAAACCGAGGTATTTGATAATCGGCGTGAAAAATGTGCATTTATCCTCACGGATAAGGAAACCGTATGACTGTATGCAACCAAGCACTTCATCCAGGCGGTTAAATAGTTCTTCTGGTGTTCGACCCATCACTATGATATCATCCAAATATGCAGAGGTTCCAGAAACTCCCGCTAGCATAGTATCCATCAACTGTTAGAAAGTGGCTGGCGCCGTTTTTACATCAAATGGCAAGTGGTTGTATTGGAATAGCCCACGATGAGTGTTGATCGTCAATAACTCCTTCGAGACTTCGTCAACATCCACTTGAAGGTAAGCATCGGATGGATCAATCTTAGCAAAGTACTTACCACCATTCAGCTTTGCAAAGATATCTTCCGGTACAGGTAATGGGTACTGGTGGTCGTCCAGCGCGGCGTTGAGGCCAGTTGAGAAGTCAGCGCAGGGGCGTACCTTTCCGTTTGCTTTCCTCACTGCGACAATAGGTGCGGCCCATGATGAGTAGTTGACGGCTGTGATGACTTCGGCACATTCCAGTCGATCGATTTCTTGCTCAACGTTTGACATGGCTGCTTATGGTACCGGTCTTTTAGCCTTGAACCCTGGTTTAGCACCTGGTCGCAAGCTCAGCGTTACCTTGAATTTCGTACAATGGCTCCAGCCATCCTGATAGACAAAGGCACATTTTCGCTTCAGAGTACGTGCCATGTCTTCGACGGACGTCGATGATGGGTCTGGGCTTGCGCGAACTCGGTTGCAGTTCTGGTTCAAGGGAATATCGAGGAGTTGCAACTTTTCAATCCAGTCGAGACCAAGAAGATTCGAAGTTGGCCAGTCTGAAATGTAACATCTTCCCGACTTTTCTACACCTTTGAAAGCAATCTTGCAATTGAGTACGCCCACTAAGTTTAACACACCGCCGGATGCATTATGTGCAACTTTCTGAGACTCGACCA